CATCTGTTCAGTATAGCATAACTTGCAATGTGTATTTCAATGGATGTACTTACCATTGCCAATAGCATAAGACACACAAAGGAAGAGAAGGAGTATGCTAATACCTTTAGCCATTTTTTAACTGCTAGTGAGTTTACTTGCTCTGACTCTGCTCTAGGTCTCTATTTATATACAAATAGACAGGAAGTTTTGATATACATAGAGAATGCTTACTGATGCTACCACATTACCATAATTTAACCTACTGTAAGTGATTAGGTGAACTTTAATTGTTTACTGGCAGTCAGAAAGGATGTTATTATAAAATAAAAACTTGACAGTGACAGATTTACTGTTAGTTTTAGGGTTTTAACCCATTTATAGCACATTAGTTAGTCTGGAGTCATTCCTATGTCTAAATTGTGCTGCCACTGTCATTTACTGTTTACAAATAGATGCTACAAAACTCCTTAACCTGTGATGTGCATCTGATCATAAATTAATGATATACATTAAGCCCAAATAACACTATGCAACACTCATTGCAAACAACTTGTTGCATGCAACTCAGTTTATACAAGAGTCGATGGAGTTTGCAAGATGTTGCATGAAGTAGAAGTGTTTCCTATTTCATGCAACATGTTGCAAGCTGAATGTTGGACTTTAGAGATCACATTCATTATACTATGCATTCCAAATTACCAATAGTTTTAAATGTATTTGTAGGAATAGCTTTATAAGGAGCCACAGAGGCTATGGCTCCTAACAGAATATTAACTTGAAATTTGCTTCTTTTGACATTATTTCTATGCATGAGTCTACCTGTGGGATTTGCCCCAGTAGTATGATTTCATTCTATGCCTAGCTCTACATGTATGACTAATTGATTATTAATTTGCATTAATTTAATTTGTCTAGGTTAAACTTAAAGAAACCATGCATTTAAGTCATGTTCTGAAAGTGCCTATGATTGCACGATGTAGCAAGTGTGTTCACTTGTAGGCAAGTTAATTTTTTACTTGAGTTCATATTTTAAAGTATTGCTTGGCTTAAAATGATCAAAATTTTACGAAATTGACAAAATTTTAAGAAATCAATTTCTTTTTAAAATATAAACTGAAAACAATACATCTCACTACAAAAATCCTAAAAAATAACGACACTTAAAAATGTTCAGTTCTTGTTCTCTTTATCAGAACGATCGGCTTATTTCCAGCCACCAGGATTGTAGTAGCTGCCAACTTTGTAGGAGCAGATGTACCTCTTGATTGTTGCAAGACGATACTTGTAGATGGTCTTTTTTCCAGGGAGTGTCCTGACTTTGTAGACGATGGTGATCTTGAAGGAGCTCTTGGTACACATCTTAGGCTTGTAGAGGGTGAAGGTACGGAACTTGGTTTCCCACTCGTAGATGGTTTTGTGTGAGCAATACTTGTGTCCATGGTAGACATGGCATGTCTTCTTGTTATGTGGGACTTTAACTTGGTAGGGCCTGGTGACATTGTATGGCGTCTGTCCACAAGCATAATGGCTTTTGATGGGGACCTTCACAGTGACTGGGTAGTGCTGAGTGTAGTTGTGCTTGGTAGAAACTGGGTAATACTGCCTGATTTTCTTTGTGACCCAAGCGCATATTCTCAAGTAACAGACTGTCCTGTTTATGTTTCCTTGCATTGCTGGTGCTGTAATAAAATGATATTTATCAGGACACTGCTTTGCATCATGTGCTTACCATTAGCTGTCTCATCATAGGATTTGCTCATTACTTGCTCAAAGGTTTCTTTAGAAACTGTGTATGTATGCATGAAATAGTAATAAATTATAATCACTAATAATCATAAAAGTACCATTTTCACCATCAATAGAACTATCCTCTGCTTCCTCTATAATGGAGAATGGAAAAGTAAAATTCAGTGAAATGCAATGTGGTATTATATGTACCTGAGTCAATCTCATTCTGTTCTGTATAATAAAGAGAAATATAATGATAATAGTCATGAAGTTGTTATTTTATAGCTGTACCTTCATTCTGGTTCATATAGTCAGCTTCATTGAATTCTTCATTATTGTTATTGACTTCACTATTCACTGTAAATGAAAATATGTTAATTATGCATTTGTTAATGTTATTTTGTTTTCCTACATTCATCAAACTGCTCAAATCCTTGTTCTTCTTCTGGCTGCACAAATCCTTCAACTACAGACATAAAAATACAATAAATATAAACAAATCAATAATTCCTTTACAGTTGTCCAGGTCATTAGCTGGTCCTAAATAAGGAAACATCAAAATAACTTCAAATTTTTAATATACAGCTGTAGACATACCTTCTCCAAATGCCTTGCAGGCACACAGGAGTAGCATTAGAACACAAATTACTTTCATTATTGCAGTAGACTGTAGTAACAAGATGATATCTTGGTAAATTCTGAGTCTGTTTGCTTTGTGAGTAAGTTGTGGCCCTTGTCTCAAATTTATAGTCTCTTCATGGAAGCAAACAACTAGTATCTTCAATTTGATTCTCTGAATTTGTAATCTGCTTTCTTAGTTCTTAATCTTGTATCTTTGTCAGTTTTGACGAGGATGGTATTAGTTTTGATAATATGAACCATGTATAATGCAAAATAAATTGATTATGGTGGCAGTGATGGTTTATTAATTAGTTTATTACTTCCTGTTACCTTACTGAGACAATAACTGTCAGTCATAATTTGTCATAATTTCTTTTACGTTACATGCACATGTCATGCATGTGAATGTGAAATTACATGTATCATGTACTCTCTGGCACACGTGCAGTAGAACCTATCATTATGTCATATTGAGTCATTCAGTGTCATGCTTATGCATAAATTTTTTGAGTTATATGTTTTTTATCAGTTCTTTAATCATAATCTATAGCTATTGATCAATGTTGCTCATTGCATATTTTTTGCTGCTGCATACATATTTTGTTAAGAATTAGTGAGGAAAATATTTTTTAAAAAGAAACTATATATAACACTTTTCTACAAAACTGTTACAATATATAAAATATGAAAAAGTCCTAATATAATAATAACAATAAATTTTTGTTCATTTTTCCTCATTGTGTACAAATCACAGCTTATTTCCAGATTCCACCAGGATTGTAGTAGCTGCCAATTGTGAAGGAGCAGATGTACCTCTTGATTGCTATAAGACGATACTTGAAGATGGTCTTGGATCCCAGGAGGGTCCTTGTTTTGTAGATGATGTCAATCTTGTAGGTGGTCCTGGTACAGTATTTGGGCTTGTAGAGGGTGAAGGTACGGAACTTGGTTACCCACTCGTAGATGGTTTTGTGTGAGCAATACTTGTGTCCATGGTAGACATGGCATGTCTTCTTGTTAACTGGGACTTTAACTTGGTATGGTTTGGTGACGTTGTATGGTATCTGTCCACAGATATGTTTGGTTGTATGAGGGATCTTCACAGTGACTGGGTAGTGCTGAGTGTAGTTGTGTTTGGTAGAAACTGGGTAATACTGCCTGATTTTCTTTAAA